TGAGAGAACCCTAATAGTTCAAGTAAGGAGTGATATCACATCAGTAGCACCACCCCCAAATGAACCTGGGTAGCAAAGCAGTTGTATCTAAGACAGTGAAAAATTAAAACATTACAGGAAATGGGAAGAGAAAAAGCAATCCCCAAAGGAAAGGAAAGGAGGACTCAACAGACAGGGAATTAAATGAAATGAAGGCAAGTAACATGTCAGAGAAAGAACTCATAATAACAGTTATGAGGATGCTCAAAGGCTGGATGACAAATACATACAAATCAATGAGAATTATAAGGGGCTGAATGAGAATGTTACCAGCATGAAAAGGAACCAAGAGGAAATGAAGACCATCAGGAAGGGAGGGAGGGAGAGTGTGTGAGAGAGTGAGGGAGTGATAGAGGAATGTGAGTACCTGTGTGTGTGTGTGTGTGTGTGTGTGTGTGTGTGTGTGTGTGTGTGTAATTGGGACATTTAGATCCTGCATACTTTGTAAGGGGCTGCCAATACAGGCATTCTTAGATGGCAAAACCCTGCTGCTGCTGCTGCAAAAACTCTGGGGAGGACACCTGTAGCAAAAAGACCACACCATCTTGAAGAACAGAACTGTTTGAGACTAGGATCCTAGCCTCACCGCCACCCAGTCTGGTCTCAGTAGCAAACTTGGACCCTACAGTTTCTCAGGTAGAAGACCTGCAACCACATCTGCAGACCCAGGGACTCCAATACTCCAGGCATCCTGTCCATTGATATCTGTGAGTCTCAAAGCCAATACCCCTCCCCTGCTGCCCCCACAGCAGCAGCATAGGAATTTCCAGGCCCCAGCTACATAATAGGGCTATCTGCACACACACACACACACACACACACACACACACACACACACACAGCAGCAGCAGCAGCGGCGGCAGCTCCACCTGACTTTCAGCCTTGATGTCAGACACTGGAAGTGTGTTTCCTATGACCAGGCTCCTCACCCATACAGGGAGACTGTGCTCAATTTGATCCTATGTGCATATCTTTGGGTAGATTGTTTTCTGCAACCAGATCCTGCTCTTACACAGGGCAGGGAGACAGGGCTGAATTTGAGCCTGGACGTGTGAACTCAGGGAATTTGTTTCCCACAACTAGGCTCCACGCCCAGGTAGGGAGACTGTGCTGAATTTGACCCTAGGTACGCATCATTGGGGAAATTGTTTTCTGTGACCAGAGCCCACGCCCAAGAAGGACAGGGAGACAGTGCTGAATTTGAGCCTGGACTGGCAGATGTGGGGAATTTGTCTCCTGCAACAAGGCTCTGCGACCAGGCAGGGAGACTTTTCAGAATTTAACCCTAGGTTTGAATCTTGGGGGAGATTGCTTTCTGCAACCAGATCCCATGCCCCTGCACGGCAGGAAGACAGGGCTGAATTTGAGCCTAGACTAGAGAACATGGAGAATTTATCTCCTGCAACTAGGCTCTGCACCCAGGCAGGGAGACTACATGGAATTTGACCCTAGGTATGCATCTTTGGGTAGATTATTTCCTGCATCCAGATCCTGTGCCCACGCAGGCCAGGGAGACAGTGATGAATTTGAGCCTGGATGTGCAAACTTGGGGAATTTGTTTCCCAAAAGGAGGCTCCATGCACAGGCAGGGAGACTGTGCTGAATTTGATGATAGGTACATATTTTTGGGGAGATTGTTTTCTGTGACCAGATCCTGTAACCATGCAGGGAGACAGTGCTGAATTTGAGCCTGGGGTTGCAAACCTGGGGAGTTTGTTTCCCATAACCAGACCCTGCACCCAAAAGGGAGACTATGCTGAATTTAAACCTGAATATGCGAACTTGGGGAGCTTGTTCCCCACTACCAAAGCCTGTGCCCACATGGTGGTAGCGCTGAATTCAAGCCAGGGTGCATGGCCACGGAGATTTTGTTTCTCTCAGTACACACCCATGAGACCAGGCCCCACACCCACACTGAGTAATGGTGCTACCTGACTTTGATTCAGGGGAAACAAACACAAAATGCTGTTTTCCTTAAGGCAGGTGTGGACCTACTGCCAACACAGTGCAACTGTGCAACAGTCTCCCAAGAGGATTAGGGACCCTGAATCTCCTTGCAAGAGGCAGAAATGAGCACCAGGACTAGACTCTGTTTCTCATTGCATGTGCCTGGGATCCCTGATTCCCAGTACTTTCACAATAAGAGCCAGTGTCTCTAATTCTTGGTGCATGCACACTGTGGGACCCTGATTCTCAGTGTGAGGTAGCACCAAGCAACAGAGTTCCTGATACTCAATTCTTAGCACAGACACAAAAGTCTCTGACTCCTGAAACACACTTGGGGACTTTGAGTTTTGGCACACCCCAGCATTTCTCTGTTTCAACGTGGCACAAGCAGGGTCCTGGATTCTAGGTGTGCATACAAGTCCACACTAAGGGCCTGTGTCGCTGACCAGGGGCGAGAATGCCTTCCACCAACCCACAGCAGCCACACGTCTTGGTGTCAGAGTTCTTCAGTGGCACTTGAAGGTTGCAAAACTCCAACTGTAAATGGCCCAGCCCTCTCAACTCAACATTTGAACCTTCTGGTGACAGTCAGAATGGGAAGACAACAAAACAATCCCCAGAGGAAAGAAAAGTAGGAATCACCAAGAAAGGAAATAGGTGTAATGGAAGCATGCAATATGACAAAAAAAGAATTCAGAGTAATGGTCATACAGTTCATACACCAGATGGAAAAGAAAATAAAAAACCTATGCAAAAATCAGGAAAAAATAAGAAATTATATACCTACAACCAAGAACACCATGTAAGGCTTCAACAATATATAGAAGAAGCAGAGTACAGAATTAGTGAGTTAGAAGATAAGTACAGAAACAAGACCAATCTGAACAGAAGCAAGAAAAATTAAAAAGCATCAGGAAAGCCTAAGGGAGCTTTGGGACAATGCAAAACTAAATAACATATGTATAATAGGGCTGCCAGAAGGACAAGAACATTAGCAAGGATTATAATTTTTTTTAAGAAATAATAACAGAAAATTTCCCTGATATAGGGAAGAAAAATGTTTTACAAGTACAGAGAATCCAAACCAAGATGAATCCAAAAAGACCCACACCAAGACATGCCATAATTACAGTGGTAAATGTTGATGACAAAGAGAGAATCTTAAAGGCTGCAAGAGAGAGGCAGAGAACTACAAAGGATCCCCCATCATATTATCAAATGATTTCTCAACATAAACACATCAAGCTACAAGGGAATAGAAGCAGGTATACAAAGTGATACAAAGCAAGGGACTGAACCCAAGAATACTCTATCCAGCAAAACTATCAATCAAAATTGAAGGGAAAATCAGGAGGTTCTCAGATAAAAAAAAAAAAAAAAAAAGGCTAAGGGAATTTATTACTACCAAGCCATCAATGCAAGCAATGCTACAGGGAAAGCTGTAAAACAAATATATAAATAGATAAGAAGGAACACAGACTCAAAAAAATCAAAATGGCTACAAAACAAGTAACTTTCTGTAATAAATTTAAACGTAAATGGACTAAATGCTCCAATCAAAAGACATCAAGTGACTGAATGGATAAAGACACGACCCATATATATGCTGTCTACAAGAGACCCACCTCATAACAAGGGACTCACACAAATTGAAAGTAAAGGAATGAAAAATATGTTTCAGAAAAATGGAAATAAAATTTTAAAAAAAGCTGGGGTAGCAATACTTAGACAAACTAGAACTCAAAGTGAAGGCCATAACAAGAGATAAGGAAGGTCACTTCATAATACTAAAGGGATCAATACAACAAGAAGATATAACCTTGGTAACTATATATGCACCCAATGAAGGAGCACCCAAATACATTTTAAAAAAATTTTAAAAAAAAAAAGCTCCTGGAAGATACCAAGGGAGAGATCGACAACAATACAATCATATTAGGGGATTTTAATATAACATTGACACCACTGGATAAATCCTATAGACAACATATTCGCAAAAAGACATTAATCCTAAATTACTCACTAGGTCAAATGGACTTAATTGACATCTTTGGAACATTTCACCCCAATATATGTTCTTGGAATATATGTTCTTCTCAAGTGTACATGAGACATTTTTAAAAATAGACCACATATTGGGCCACAAGCAAAGTCTCCTCAAATTCAAGAAGATTGAAATCACACAAAGCATATTCTCAGACCACAATGCCAGGAAATTAGAAATAAACTACAAGAAAAACAATCTAAAAATCTCAAACTCTTGGAAGCTGAAAAGCATGCTATTAAATAATGACTGGGTTACCAATGAGATCAAAGAAGAAATTAGAAACATCCTGGAAACTAATGACAACAAAAACATAACAATCCAAAATCTATGGGACAAAATGAAAGTCCTAAGAAGGAAGTTTATAGCTTTAACAAGCCGACCTAAAAAAATAAATAAATAAATAAAGATAGTAAATCATTTAACTCTACAACTTAAAGAATTAGTAAGAGAGTAAAAAGAAAAGCCCAGTGTAACCAGAAGGAAGGAAATGATAAAAATTAGAGCAGAAATAAATAGCATAGAGATGAAAAAATATAAAACATCAATGAAACCAAGAGAGGATTCTTTGAAAGGATAAATAAAATTCATGAGCCTCTAGCAAGGCTCACCAAGAAGCAAAGACTGAGGACCCAAATAAACAAAATCAGAAATGATAGAAGGAAAATAACAACAGACACCACGGAAATACAAAGGATTGTTAAAAAAAAAAAATACTATGAACAACTCTATTTCAACAAACTAGACAACCTGAAGGAAATGGACATATTCCTAGAAAAGTACAACCTTCCAAAACTCAATCAGGAAGATTCTAAAAATCTCAATAGGTAGATAACTATGAAAAAAATTGAAGCAGTCATCAAAAAGCTTCCAGCAAATAAAAGCCCGGGGCAAGATGGCTTCACAGGAGAACTATACAAGTCATTCAAGGAAGAACTAAAAGCTATCCTCAATGGACTATTCTAAAAAGAATCAAGAGGGAGGAACACTTCTAAGCTCCTTCTATGAAGCCAGCATCACCCTAATACCAAAACCAGATAAAGTCAACACAATGAAAGAGTATAGGCCAATATCCACCATGAACATAGATGCAAAATCCTCAACAAAATTCTAGCAAATCGGATACAACAGTACATGAGAAAGATCATATACCATAACCAAGCATGATTTATCTAGGAGATGTTAGGATGGTACAATACCCACAAATTAATAAACGTGATACATCATATAAACAAATTGAGGGAGAGAAATCATATAGTCATATCAATTGATGCAGAAAAAGCATTTGACAAAATCCAACACCTAATCTTGATAAAAATTCTCAGCAAGGTGGGAATAGAAGGATTGTACCTCAACATAATGAAAGCCATATATTACAAACATAGTCACTATCATACTCAATGGGCAAAATCTAAAACCATTTCCTCTAAGAACAACAAAAAAGAAGGTATGCCCACACTCACCACTCCTGTTCAAAATAGTACTGGAAGTGCTAGCTATCAGACAGAAGAAGAAATAAATGGCATTCAAATTGGAAAAGAAGTAAAACTGTCCTTATTCACAGATTACGTGATACTGTACACCTCTCTCTTCACTGTTTTAACTATCCAACAATTGTTTTTTTCTCTATCCTTTTGGTGTTGTTTGCTTGAATGTTGATTATATCGAATTTTTATGCTTTTCTGTGAGATTGTTTTGCTTACTCTTTTTGTTTCTTTGTTTTGTTTGCTTGGTTTTTGTCTGTTTTTTACTTCTGTTTTCTCTTGCTTCACTAAATATTATTTGGTGTTGTAGTGTGTACTAATTTCCAGGTACTTGTTGCTGGCATTTGCTGGGATTAGTGGTTTTTCTATTGGAGTTTTCTCCTCATATATATAGTTGGTTCCCCTTTTGTCTCTTAGTCTTGATCTTGTATCTTAACTTTTTTTTCTTTTCCCAATTTAATTTTAACACTCCTTTTTTCCCTTTCTTTTTACTCTTCTTCTTTATCTCCTATCTAATTTGCCTTTCTCTGATGGACATCTTTATTGCAGGATATTAATACCATGAATACATTTCTATTCAGTGCCTTGTGTGTTGTACCTTCTTGTGTTGTACTTTGTGCCTTTAAATCAATGCAGGAGAGAGAGAACTACATAATCAGACATCCTGAGAAGAGAGACCATGGGGAAACAAAGAAACAGCCCACATATGAAAGAAAAGCAGGCATCACCAGAAAAGGAAGTAAACAACATAGAGGCTAACAACATGTCAGAGAAAAAAATTCAGAGAAATTGTCATAAGGTGGCTACAAATAATGGAAGACAAATTCAACAATATGAGTAAGAACTAAGAGGAAATGAAGAAGAACCAAGAATAAATGAAAAGTGACATCGCTGCTGTAAAAAACTCAATAGAAAGCATCAAGAGTAGACTAGAAGAAGCAGAGGACCTTATCACTGAGCTAGAAGATAAGGTATGAAAAAATTCCCAACTAGAGAAGCTTGTAGAAAAAAAATTAAAAGCAAGAGGAGAGCCTAAGGGAACTTTGCGACAACAGCAAACAAACCAATATCCACATAATAGGGATCCCAGAAGGAAAAGAAACTGAGCAAGGAATAGAAAACCTATTTGAAGTAAAAATGACAGAAAACTTCCCTGATATAGGGAAGAAAATGCCCACACAAATCCAAGAAGCTCACAGTCCAAAAAAAATGAACCCCAAAAGACTAAAGCCAAGGTACATTATAATTAACTTGGCAAACACCAACGACAAAGTAAGGATCTTAAAAGCAGCCAGAGAGAGACAGAAAGTTACATACAAAGGAACACCCATCAGACTAGCAACTGATTTCTCAACAGAAACCCATCATACCAGAAGGGAATAAAATGAAATATACAAAATCATGCAAAGGAAGGGTCTGAAGATTACTGTACCCAGCAAGGCTATCAATCAAAATTGAAGGTGAAATCAGGAGCTTCACAGACAAAAATGGACTAAGGAAATTTACTGCCACCAAATCAGCAATGTAAGAAATACTAAAGGGTCTGCTGTAAAAAAATAAAAATAAAATAATTTTAAAAATTAAAAAAAAGGGAATAGGAAGCAAAGAAGGAACACAGGGGTAAAGAATAAAAATGACAACACATAAGTACCTATCAATAATAACTTTAAATGTAAATGGATTAATACCCCAATCAAAACACATAGGGTAATAGATTGGATAAGAAAATAAGACCCATATATCTGGTGTCTACAAGAAACCCACCTCAGGGGGGGGGGGGGGGGGGGGGGGAAGGCACACACAGACTGAGGGTGAAGGGATAGCAAAAGGTTTTCCAGGTAAAAGGAAATGAAAAAAAGCTGGGGTAGCAATACTTATATCTGACAAATTAGATTTCAAAGTGAAGGACATAATAAGAAATAAGGAAGACCACTTGATAATACTAAAAGGAACAATCCAACAAGAAGAAATAAATCTTATAAACCTATGTGCACCCAAAACAGGAGCACCCAAATACATTAAAAAAAAAACAAAACACCTCCTGGAGGATATCAAAGGTGAGATTAACAGCAATACAATCAGAGTAGGAGACTTTAATACCCCACTATCACCATTGGACAAATCTTCTAAACAAAAAATCAGCAAAGAAACATCAATTTCTAAATGACTCACTAGACCAGATGGAATTAATTGACATCTTTAGAAGATTTCACCCCAAAGCCACAGAATACACATTTCTCTCGAGTGCACATGGATCATTTTCAAAGATAGACCATATGTTCAGACACAGGCAAAGTCTCTTCAAATTCAAGAAGATACAAATCATACCAAGCATCTTTTCAGATCAAACTGGCATGAAACTGGAAATCAACTACAATAAAAACAATCCAGAAAAATCAAACACATGAAAACTAAACAGCATGCTATGAAACAATGACTAGGTTAACATAGAGATCAAGGAACAAATTAAAAACATTATGACAACAAATGACAATGAAAACACAACAATCCAAAATCTATGGGACACAGCAAAAACAGTCATGAGAGGGAAGTTCATAGCTCTACAAGCCTACTGCAGAAACACAAGAAACAATGCTAATAAATTACCTAACCCTACACCTCAAAGAATTAAGAAAGAGCAACAAGAAAAGCCCAGTGTAAGTAGAAAGAAGGAAATAATAAAGATCAGAACTGAGATAAACGACATAAAGACCAAAGAAACAATACAAAAGATCACCAAAACCAAGAGCTGGTTCTCAGAAAGGATAAACAAGATTGATTAACCTCTAGCTAGGCTCACCAAGAAGCAAAGAGAGAGGACCCAAATAAACAAAATCAGAAATGAAAGAGGTGAAATAACAACAGAGCCCACCAAAATACAAAAGATTGTTTAAAAAATACTACAAACAACTCTATTCCAACAACTGGACAACCTGGAGGAAATGGACATATTCCTAGAAAAATATAACCTTCTAAAACTCAGCCAGGAAGAATATAAACAGCTCAATAGGCTGGTAAGTATGGAAGAAAATGAAGTACTCATAAAAAAGCTTCTTGCAAACAAAAGCTTAGGACCAGATAGCTTCACAGGAGAGTTTTACAAAACATTCAAAGAAGAACTAAAACATATCCTCCTCAGACTATTCCAAAAAATTCAAGAGGAAGGTAGTGTGTGGACACAGACAACAGGGGGGTAAGGGCATGCAGGGGTGGGTTTGGGAAGGTAATGGGGGTTGAGGACAAACATGTAATACCTTAATTAATAAAGAAATTAAAATGCAAAAGAAAACCTATTTGAAAATATATTGACAGAAACTTTTCCCTACCTGGTGAAAGAAATAGACTTACAAGTCCAGGAAGTGCAGAGAACCCAAATAATATGAATCCAAAGAGAACCACACTACAACCCATCATAATTAAATGCCAAGGGTAAAAGACAAAGGGAAAATATTAAAAACAGCAAGATAAAAACAGTTAGTTACCTATGGGGAGTAACCATTTGAATGTCAACTGATTTCTCAACAGAAGCTATGCAGTCCAGGGGGAGTGGCAATAAATATTCAAGTAATGAATAACAAGAACCTACAACCAAGATTTCTCTACCCATCAAATCTATCATTTAGAATTGAAGGTCAGATAAAGATATTTACAGAAAAGAAAAAGCTGAAGGAGTTCATCACCACCAAACCAATGTTATATGAAATACTGAAGGGTATTCTTTAAGAAGAGGAGGAAGAAGAAAAAGGTAAGTTAAAAAATTATGAACAACAAAATGACAGCAAATACATATCTATTAACAAGTAAATCTAAAAATCATATGAATAAGAAATCTGATGAACAGAAATGTTAAATGTATTGGAATCAGGGGCATGAAAACTGAGCTAACAGTTCTTTGAGGGAAGGTAGTGTGTGAGGGTGAGGGAAGAGATTGGACAAAGATCTTTTTTTTTAATATATTTTATTGATTTTTTTACAGAGAGGAAGGGAGAGAGATAGAGAGCTAGAAACGTCGATGAGAGAGAAACATCGACCAGCTGCCTCTTGCACACCCCCCACCAGGGATGTGCCAGCAACCAACGTACATGCCCCTGACCGGAATCGAACCTGGGACCTTTCAGTCCGCAGGCCGACGCTCTACCACTGAGCCAAACCGGTTTCGACTGGACAAAGATCTTTGAGGAAGGCCATGTGTAGGGTGGCAAGGGCCTTTGTTGGTGTTGGAACTGGGTGGCAGGGAGCTATTGTGGGAGGGGGAAAGAGGAACTTGTGTAATAATCTGAACTATAAAGATTAAAAATAAATAAATAAAATAAAAAAGAATTTTTTTAAAAAAATACCATGCAAGTTAAGAGGCACATAGAGTCCCAAACAAAATGAACCCCAAAGACCAACACTTAGACCATCATAATTCAATTGGTAAACATCAATGACAAAGTAAGAATCTTAAAGGCTGCCAGAGAGAAACAGAAAGTTAACTACAAGGGATGTCCCATTAGAATATCAACTTACTTCTGTAGGGAATGGAATGAAATATAAAAAGTGATGCAAATCAAGGTACTGAATCCAAGAAAACTATACCCAGCAAGACTAACGTTCAAAATTGAAGGTAAAATCAGGAGTTTCACAGACCAAAAAAAAAAGGGGGGTGGGAGCTAAGAGAGTTTATTATCACCAACTAGCAATGCAAGAAATTCTAAAAGGACTTTTGTAAAAAGGAGAAACAGAAAAGCAAGAAGAAGCACAAACATTAGGAATAA